ATTACTTGGATGATACATTTTCAAAGGTTTGGACGTTTTTAGATGTGCAAATTTGTTGTAAGTTGTTCGTAAGTGATATTTGTTAGCTAATATACAGGGTGAGTCACTAAACTCGCTGTTCTCAAAATCTCAATATTTATTAGAGATAGAAAAAATAAAAAACCAAAGCTGTACGGTTTGAAGATTATATGTAATATAAAATTATTTGTAACTACCTAGAGTGTTCTGTTCTGAAGGTGTAATACATAATTTAGTTTTTTAAATGAAACATCCTATATACTTAGTTTTAGATATTTTGATTCACCTCCTATTTGACTGAGTGTTTATATAAAAAATCTGAAAGATTACAATGTTCAAATATTGATATTTAAGTTTTTTCAAACGGAACACTCTTTTTTAAAAAATTAAAAAGTAATTATGAATTTTAAAAACAGAAAATACTCAGCAAAAAAATTGGTCTAAAGAGTTTAGACAGTACTTTCCTCGCTGTTGGAAACGGGACGACTGCATGCCTATTATGTTTTTTTCTTGCACATTTAAGATGTGACGTCATAAATTTTTTAGGGGGGGGGAAGGAGCAAATACATTTTGACTAAAAATTTACCATGACTATGATGATAACTTTAAAACATCTCCACGATTTCAAACCATTCGGTTTTGTAGTTCCTGATTAAATCAATAGAAAAATTCACGCATTCATTAATTTTTTTGAGTCACCCTGTTTGTGCAAATCCAAAAAATATGAATGGAATGATAAATCACAACTACACACTCATCATTTTTTGCACATTTAAGATAGGATTTATTCAGCAAAATTTTGAGGTGAAGTCATCAATTTTCTAGGGGGGATGAGCAAATACATTTTGACCAAAAATTTAATATGATTATGATAACTTTAAAATATCTCCAAGATTTCAAAGCGTTCATTAATTTTTTGAGTCACCCTGTATATGCAAATCCAAAAAATATGAATGGAAAGATAAATCACAAGTACATACTCACATCATATTTTGTACATTTTAGATAAGATTTATTTCGCAAACTTTTGAGCTGACGTCATCAATTTTTTGGAGGGGATAAGTAAATATATTATTGTGATCAAAATTTTATCATGCTTATCATAACTATAAACCATCTACAAGATTTCAAAGCATTCGGTTTTGTAGATTCCAAATTAAATGTCGAAATGTTGTTTCCAAATTTTGATTTTTTTTTCAAAAATCTGGACGTTTCCGGTAAACTCTCAATTCGGAGTCATAAACTACATGTGTAAGACTATGTTATTCGATACAATTTAAAACCCAATTACTATGTACAATTTTGAAGTGACGTCATCACATTAGTGGTGGGGATGATTAGACAAATTTTGATTAGCGTTTTACCATCTACATGATATACCTAATATAAATACAAAATTTTACAACAATCGGCCCAGTACTTTCGGAAATTATCTATCTACTAAAAATCCGGGACGGCAGACAGACGGACAGACGGATAGACAGACGGAAACGGAAGACCTATTTCCTCGTCCTCTAGGGGTCATGATAGGTTGAGAAAATGCAAAAATAGAGAGTTGGCCGACGGACTTGATTTCAATACTTCCTTTGCTTACGCTCGAGAAGTAAAAACAGAACATAAAAAACCAACATGCAGTAATAAAATATAAGGTGCTGTATTTGGATAAACTGATATATCGACATTTGAAAATTGTAATAATAAAACATTTTTTTACTTCCCGAGCGTAAGCAAAGGAAGTATTGTAAACGAGTCCGTCGGCCGACTCTCTACTTTTACATTTTCTCGATCATTCATGACCCCTAGAAGACGAATAAATAGGTCTCCCGTTTCCGTCTGTCTGTCCGTCTGTCCGTCTGTCTGCCGTCCCGGATTTTTATTAGACAGATAATCTCCGAAAGTACTGGGCCGAATGTTGTCAAATTTTGTATTTACAGAGTGTTATTGAAAGGTACGTACAAAATAAAATTGGCAATTGGTCTCGAAGTATGGGGGCTAAAAGTAAAAAAAAGTTCAGGTAAAAGTGTTCTCCTTTTAGAGATAAAAAATATTAAAATTTATGTCCAAATTCGTTGTACGGCTCTGATAAAAAGAACATCTTTCGTTTCTATAGCAACATTTAGTCTTGACAAAAATTTTATTGTTACAGTTGCTAGAATTTATTAAAATAAATTAATTTTACCTATTTATCCTTCAGTAGCGTCTAAAAAGGTTGGATAAGGGTTCATTTTCCCTTTATAATAATTCTGATAACACAAACTAAGTTTTTTAGACTTCTTAGACTTCGCGAAGAACTGTCAATTTTGTTGTACGTACCTTTCAATAACACCCTGTATATTAGCTATATCTTGTAGATGGTAAAACGCTAACCAAAATTTGTCTAATCATCCCCATCACTAATGTGATGACGTTACTTCAAAATTGTGCATAGTCATTAGGTTTTAAATTGTATCAGATAACATGGTCTTACACATGTAGTTTATGAGTGCGGATTGAGATTTTACCCGAAACGTTCAGATTTTTGGAAAAAAAATCAAAATTAGGAAACAACATTTTGACATTTGATTTGGAATCTACAAAACCGAATGCTTTGAAATCTTGCAGATGGTTTACACTTATGATAAGCATGATAAAATTTTAATCACAATATATTTAGTTATCCCCTCCATTATTGATGACGTCACCCCAAAATTTTGCTGAATAAATCCTATCTAAGATGTACAAAATATGATGAGTCTCTTCTTGTGATTTATCAATCCATTCATATTTTTTGGATATGCATATACAGGGTGACCCAAAAAAATTAATGAATCCGTGAATTTATTTTATTGATTTAATCAGGAACTACAGAACCGAATTCTTTGAAATTTTGCAAATGTTTTAAGGTTATAAAGAACATAATAAATTTTTAGTCAAAATTTATTTGCTTATCCCCTCCAAAAAATTGATAACGTCAATTCTAAAGTTTGCCGAATAATCCTATCCAAAATGTATAAAATATGATGAGTCTCTTCTTGTAATTTATCATTCCATTCATACTTTTTGGATTTGGATATATGTACAGCGTGACTCAAAAAATTTAATGAATGCGCAAATTTATTTTATTGATTTAATCAAGAACTACAAAACCGAATGCTTTGAAATCTAATGCAAAAAAAAAAAAAATAATACGCATGCAGTCGTCACGTTTCCGACAGCAAGGGAAGTACTGTCTAAACTCTTTAGACCAATTTTTATAAACACTCTGTACATCAAAATTTGGTTTAGTTGATACAAAGCGAGTACCTTTGATTATCTCCCCAAAAAATGTTATAACACAGATTTTAAAAATAACCCTGCTGTAATTTTTAATGTGAACCGTTCCGTTGCTTAAAAAATTTCAAGGAAATTGGAATAACGTGGCAACGTCGCACCGTAATTTTAAAAATAAACGGTGGTTGTAAAGCGTGACAAGGGGTCAATTAAAGTATGTAAAGATATATAGGGTGCTTCATTTAACTAGAAACTAAGTTGTATGTTACGCCTAACAGAACACCCTATACATATATGTATACCTATATCTGACAGGAGCTTAAAAGTGGTCTTAATAACTTACTGTTATTAATATTATTTGGTGTCTTTTGTCTTGTGCTTTCTCCCAAAAGCGTGAAATTTCAAATTTTCACACTTTGAGATTTCAAAAAAGGAAAAATCATAAAAAGTAAAGACTATTAGAGGAAAAAAACAAGCACGTGGTAGTGTGAATTTGGTGCCACAAGGAACAAAAGAGAAAATCATGGGAAAAAACAAGTCCTCTAGTAGGCTATTTTTAAAATAATGACGTTTGTCAACGATGTCTTGTAGCACTTTATTTGACAGTTATTTGACCGGAGCTGTCAAACTGAACAAGGCACTAACATAATTTTTTAAGACTGAATTTCAAATCGTGTTAGACGACTTTTTTCGATCATTTTATATTTCTTTAAGTCCGTTTTCTTTGAAAAATAATATTAATGGATCTCACCTCTATAATTATAATTTACTTTATTTTTTAGTTTATTTTAGTCAGTTACGTTCCCCAATTACAAATGTTAACCACCCGGGCTACAGTTTTTATATTTTTGAATGTACAGGGTGTTTCGTATGGATATCACAATTTGCAAATTTACACACTCTGTATTAATGAAGATAAGCAATTTTTGTGTCTAATGCCATTTTTTTTGTTTCTCGTAAAGAACTTTTTAGCAATATTTTGTGAAAGTAAATAAACGTTGCTGCGGTATGAAGCAACTGAGTCTTAATATAAAAAATATTACATTTTTCAATTATCGATATTTCAGCTTTTTTAAAAAACACACCATCATATCGAAAGAAAGCGAACAAAAATAGTCCCCCGGCATCATTTTGCTCCAGTTTCCTCTACAATGAAATGAATCATTTTTCTTTTTTGTGGAATAAATAGGTTGTTTCCTTGAACACATTTTAATTCAGAAAATGTAAAGCATTTCGTTACAATCGTGTTATAAATATTTTTAAAAAGCTTTAGAAATTCCGTTACTTTGTCTACAGCGCATACGGCGAGCAAGGGAATTTCATAATCCTTCTTCATTCTGCATTCTTTCCCCAATAATAATTTAAAACAGCGCTTCACCATTACTCTTTTGATATGAAATATTTGCTTACACCACTGCCGTCGACTATTTAATAGTCTTTTATCCACTCAAACGTCGGAAACGTCTGTAAAAGCCAACTTTTACCCAAGAAGCAGAAAATACGACTAAATAGTTAGAAAGCTTCTCACTGTTCTTTTTCATTTGTTTTTCTGCGAACTTTATTAGCTTACTAATAGCTTTTTGCTCGCGGTTTCATCCACTTAAAACGCTGTTCTTGAAAATCTTTTGAACGTTGAATTTTGACCCGCTTTCATGCTCCATCTTGATATACACAAACAATATTCATGATTCTATAGCGCAAAACCAATTTTTATTTGACAAATTTTGTTCCAGGTGGCTGAATGTGGCAACTTAGAAACTTTCCAAAGACTATATTACGCCGACCCAGCAAGATTAAGTATTAAGGACAGCAGAGGAAGGACAGCGGCCCATCAGGCGGCAGCAAAGAACAGGATAAATATTTTGCAGTTCATCTTGTCTCAAGGGGGCGGTACGAGATTATGTCGAGTCTTTGAAAAGATGATTCTGATAACTACTTGTTTTCAGATCTTAACAATCAGGATAATGTAGGAAATACACCCCTTCATGTTGCCGTGGAACATGAATGTCTCGACGCTGTGGATTATTTGTTGCAAGTGTGAGTATTTATTGGCATTTGTTGCTTGTTATTGGAAGTGAGACGAGAAAACAGTGAACAGTGAAAAAGGGCCAACGTTCTCTGTGGTATTTTCTTTTAATCCCTTTTAATTATATTTCATTTTGTTCAGGAACAGTTCATTTTAATTTAAATTAAAAACATACTCGTACTGAATTGAAAAAAAGGCCTAGCTAGGAAATTAGGAACTGTCGATGTCAATAAACCAATATCCTTCTTCACGGAAATAAATTAATTACAGCTCAGACCAAAGAATTGGATTTCAGTTTGCCGGATCCACAATTTTAATTATCGTTTTTTTGTGTGTGTCAGATTCTGTTTCAAAATCCAAAGAAATTAATCGCAGACAGCATGGATTACATTTACATGGCCCATTTCCTTGCATTGAAAATTGTTGCTGAGTTAACAACATTACTTTCATTATGAAATTAAATCTCTTGTTTATGAACGATTTTGATCATAAATTTGCTTAACAAAAACTTATTACTAGAATGGTAAATCCACTTTTTTTTGTTCGAAGTGTGCTACGGTATTCGGAAATAATGCATAAAGTTGGTAATGAGAAATTATTGCAGCAGAATGAAATTCCGTTTTGACTGAACGTTATTGTCTTGTCTTTACAGCTTAAAACCTGACAAGAACATTTGTCGTTTCTAGTAAAAGTTAGTTTGTTATCGTTCAGGTGCAACAATGTGTTAAGTGAAGAAAAATGATGGAAAATCGCTGAGAAATTGCATGCTTGGGAAACTCAGGGAAATGTAGCTTTGTAGAGAAATACGTGGACAGGTTGTGTATAAAGGCGCTTAAAGGGAAATATATTGCAGCGGTTGCTTTGTCTAGAATTATTTGGCTGGAAAATGTTATTTTAAGGAATATTGATGTAAAAATGGAAACAAATTCTTCAGAAGCTGCTTATATTAAATTGGGCATTAGAAGAATGAATTTCGAATTTTGCGTGGCTTAAGTTGTAAACCAAAATGATTTTTTCGTTTCTTTTAATTCTGCAATCTTCTGTGAAGCTGTATAACTTTAACAGACATTCCAATTATTATGAATTTGAAGTTTAAGTCTGAGTTTTTGTTTGTTGCCTACAATTTTAGATATTTATAATTTGGATGTTTCTTAAAAAATATCGATAAATTATGCCTCAGTTAAAAACGTATTAGTAGTTAATAATTATGCAGTGGGAACGTTCTCCTGTAACAAATAGAAGACGTAGTAATATTTAAGCGTTTTTCTTCCCACATCATATATAAAAAAATGGTCCAAGGTTACTTCCCTCGCCCTTGAACTAAAGTCCAATGAATTCCGCTTCTCTGAAAAACAATAAAAAATGTTTGTTTTCTGATAACATTTATGCAAGGTCTCTAGAATGCATTATGTTCAAAACGGATTCGTAAACCACACTTAGAGGAGCATATTGTTGTATAACAGTTAAATCAAATAAACATAGAATTTTTTGAAATGACGTCATCAAATTGTTGGTGGGGATGATTAGCAATATTTTGATTAGTATTTAACCATCTACATGATACTTCTAATATATGTATACAATTTGACAACAATCAGTCGAGCGGTTTCGGAGATTACGTGTCTAATAAAAATGAATACAGACAGACAGACGGAAACGGGAGACTATTTTTTTCGTACTGTAGGGGTCATGAAACGTCGACAAAATATAAAAGTCTATCTATCAGTCGGCGATTTCATTTGATAGATAATTTCCCAAAGTATTAGACTAATTTTAAGTGAAATTTAAGAAGATTATGTAAATGGTAATAGGATAAAATTTGTTCATGCCCGGCAAAAAGTTGATGATGTCATTTCAAAATTTTATAAGTTGAATCTCATAAATCGTATATCGTTTCATAAAACAGTACATCCACATTATTAATTTTTCGCATAATACAAGCTGGGAGAAGTCCTGTCGAAATAAATAAAATTCGCAAAATCCAATCAAATAATTTTTCGCAACAGCTGCGACCAATTATTGTAATCGAGTCCATCGGACGAATGGCCGTTTTTATATTTTCTCGACGTTTCATGACCCCTACAATACGAAAAAAGTAATCTCCCGTTTCCGTCTGTCTGGATCCATTTTTATTAGAGACGTAATTTGCGAAACTGCTAGACCGATTGTTGTCAAATTTTGTATGTATGTTAGGAAAATCATGTAGATGGTTAAATGCTAACCAAAATTTGGCTGATCATCCCCACCAAAAATTTGAAGACGTCATCTCAAAGAACAGTATTTTAAAATGAGTTGAATGTTTTACTAAAATATACTCCTATACTTGTAGTATCCGAATCCGCTTTCAGTTTTTTCGCTAAATGTTAGCGAAATTAGTCCCTAGGATGTGAAATTCTTCTCTAGCTAAGTTAAACTGATTCTGGCAAATGACATATGTGCCAAGAGAATACAGGGCGGGTGGGCGGGGCTAGCATTTTATAAGATATGACTAATTTTGACACTTTAAATGGGAAAATTTTCCCATTTTTCAATTACTGAATTTTAAAGCATTTTCATTTGTACGATTTTTCGATTTTTCAGTTGTTTCGATTTTTCAATTTTTCGATTTTGCAATTTTTAATTTTTCAGCTTTTCGATCTTTTATTGTTACAGTTTTTCGATCTTACAGTTTTGACGATTCTACATATAACTTTTACAGTTTGCAATTTTTGGAATTTCCAGTTTTTCGATTTGATTCGTTTTTCCTTCTTTCCAATTTTTCTATTCATTAATTTTTTCGATTTTTAAGTTTCTGGATTTTTAGTTTTTCAATGTTTCAATTTGTCGTTTCTTCAGTTCTACGTCTTTTAGTTTTTCGATTTGCAATTGCACGAGTTTTCCATTATTAATTTTTCAATTCTTCGATTTTTCAATTTTTCGATTTTGCGATTTTTAATTTTTCAGCTTTTCCATATGTCGCTGTTATAGTTTTTCGGCTTGATAAATTTGACCCTTCTACATATAATTTTTAGATTTTACAATTTTTGCATTTTCCAATTTTTCGATTAGATTCGTTTTTTCTTCTTCACAATTTTTCTATTCATTGGTTTTTTTCGACTTTTAAGTCTCTGGACTTTTTAGTTTTTCAATGTTTCAATTTGTCGTTTCTCTAGTTCTACATTTTTTAGTTTTTCGATTTGCAATTTCACGAGTTTTCAATTATTAATTTTTCAATTTATCAATATCTCATGTTTCCGTTTCGGATTTCATTTTCTTTATTTTTTTCAATTTTTCAGTTTTCAAATTCATAATTTTTGTTTTCAAAGTGAAATTATTCAATTTTTGGATTTTTCAAGTTTAAATTTTGTAATTTTTCTTTTTCCAATTTAAAATTTTTCAGTTTCTTGATTTTTCAATTTTTCCTTTTTTCAGTTTTTGATTAGGAACTTTTTAGTTTCTATTTGAATACATAATAATATTAATAATATTTTTTAAAAATTTTTACTTTTTCAATTTTACGATTCTAGAATTTTTCCATTTTTCAATTTTCAAAAATTTTCACATTCTTCGATTTTTCAATTTTTCGATTTTGCGATTTTTAATTTTTCAGCTTTTCCATATTTCGCTGTTACAGTTTTTCGGTTTTATAAATTTGACCCTTCTACATATAATTTTTCGATTTTACAATTTTTGGGTTTTCCAATTTTTCGATTAGATTCGTTTTTTCTTCTTCGCAATTTTTCTGTTCTTTGATTTTGTCGATTTTTAAGTCTCTGGACTTTTTAGTTTTTCAATGTTTCTATTTGTCGTTTCTTCAGTTCTTCGATTTTCAATTTCACGAGTAATAAGTTTTTAATTTCTCAATTTTTCATGTTTTCAATTTTTCGTTTCGGCTTTTTAGTTTCTTTATTTTCAGTTTGCCATTTGTTCAATTTCATGATTTTTCTTTTTAATGCAAAATTATTCATTTTTGAATTTTTTGGTTATCGATTTTTCGATTTTCAAATTTTAAATTTTGTAACTTTTCGTTTTTGAAATTTTAGAATTTTCAGTTTCTTGATTTTTCAATTTTTCCTTTCCTCGATTTTTCATTTGCAATTTTTTTAGTTGTCATTTTAAATATGTACGTACTAACAATTATATTTTAAAAAAAAAATTCATAAGAATTATAATATTCAGAACATTTTGTTCGATTGTGGTTTAATTAATAATTTGTACGTGACATTCCTTCGATGTATAAAGATAAATAAACACTTGAGCTTAAGATTGCTACTACCTAGTGCTGAAGGACAAGGGGTGTTATTTATGCCTCTAGTTTTTACTTTACATCGTTTATCACAAAGCGAAAATCGTAAAATCAAATTTGTGTGAGAATATGAAGAAATCATTTTGTTGCATTGTGGCTTAATTAATAATTTTGGTTTTCTGTTTTGAGGACAAAACTCATTCAAATTAAACACATTTCTACGAGACATTCTTTTTTAGATTTGCTTATACAGGGTGACCGAAAAAAATTAATGAATCAGTCAATTTAATTTATTGAATAAATCAAGAATTGCAAAACTGAATACTTTGAAATCTTGCAGAGCGTTAAAGTTATTGTTAGCACGGTAAATTGTTAATCAAAATATATCATTCATCTCAAAATTTTGCAGAATAAATTCGACCCAAAATGTGCAAAATATGATGAATTTTTACTTGTGATTTATCATTGCATTCATATTTTTTAGATTTGCTTAAACAGGTGGCTCAAAACAATTAATGAATAAGTTATTTTTAGTAGGACCGATTTTTAAATGTTTTGTGATATAATTTTACAAATTCGTAATAAAACACATTCAGTACAAATTTACCACAAGCACAACCTCCAGAAAATCTTCTTACTCCATTCTGCCAACTCCACTAACACTTTATCCACCAAAAACCAAAAGAATGGTTTTCAAAAAACCACTCAATATTCATTTTTAGTAATTAATAATAACTAATAATCGAAGAGACATATTTCCGGTTCCGCGAACGGTGTAAGACTGGTTTCGGTGCAAAATTACACCCCCTCCCGGCTCCCCCGTCTGCGAATACCAACAATCGAGTCGTCTGCTAATAATTTTCAAGAAATTCGCCGCGCGATTTTTTCCAAGAAATATCGATTTTTATAATTCACAATAAATACAACCCGTTAAAAAATAAAGGCAAAAATAAATAATTTATATTAATTTTTTAATTCTACACTCTGTATCACTAAAATGGTCAGCGTAAACTTTATAAATATTATCTTAAGAAAGGAGAAAATTTAGCATAGTCTAGGGAACTGAAATTTTGTAGGGGACTATGAACAAAATGTTTTACTTGTTCAAGAGACAACTAAAATAAAATTGTCTCTTCGTTTTTTGTTAACTTTTAAACAGATTTTCTTATCGTTTTAAAAATAACTTCATAAGCGTAAAATATTGAGTAACAACTCCGTGTTGAAATGTAAAAGTCGCTAAAATTAGAAACGACTCAGAAAAAAAATGTAAGAATGCTACTTCAGTAGACAAGACGAGGATCAGACACACACAACTTTAAAAACGAAACTTATTCTTACTATTATTACATTGAATATTTTTTGCTCGATGACGATATTAAATTAGAACTTTCAACAAAATATATACAAACAACGCTGTTCGGGTTTCGGACGCTTGTTGACAAGGGTTGCGGTTGGTAGGTAAAACCGAAACCCGAACAAACGCAATAAAAATACATGCTATTCATTAATTTTTTTATGCGAAACCCGTAAACTTCGAACACAATTGTGCGACTGTTATTGAATGTATTTTAAACTTTGTATTTTTCGTAAACACTTGAAAAAATTACTCCTGCTTGTGAATTTGTATCAGACCGTGTTGAGAACGAATTTTACCAAACGAGAGCAAAAAATTGCTAGACATGGTAATCCGATTTATGAATGGTTTCTTGAAGTTCAATCTAAGATTCTTTGATAAAGAGTATTTCCCGCTGCTCGCCGTGGTTGTCGAGCTATTATAATTTAAACTACACTTTAATTTAATTTGTGAAAACTTAGTCTCGTCAGCTTAGTTAATAGAGTCGACATTAAACTCAAATAAAAGTTTTCGTATTAACAGTAGACAACTTGTTTTTCCTGGTGTAACAAATCAATACCATTTAACTCTACACTTGACTGTTACCTAACTTCTTACACAACTCCATTCTCAATTTCCCAACTTCAAGGAGTAATTAAATTTTGCCACGTGTTTACTCCACAACTAAGGAAAAATACTACCGACAAAATAATTAATAATTCCTCGCTAGGGAAGTCACGTAATTAAGACGTTTCCAACAATTCCAACGAAACGTCGCGTTTCGAAGACGACTAAATTGATGTTATCTCCACATGAGGACGTGATGAATATGCAGATGTTAATTTAGATAAAACAAAACAGAAAATGACACGAAATTGCTGTCCAAGGTTGCCAGCCCTTGGAATAACTTTTTTTTGTTACAGGGGTGTAAAAACAAATATATTAAATGAGAAAAAGCAAGCGGCTATACACCTGGTTACTGAGCTTAACAAGGTCAAGGTGCTGGAGGTGATGGGGCGACATAAAGAGAAAATTGACATCCTCCAAGGGGGTGAACACGGGAGGACAGCCTTGCATATTGCAGCTATCTACGACCATGAAGAATGTGCTAGACTGTTGGTGAGTTTCGCTTTTTTTTAATTATGAAGGGTTGATATTTTAATATTTGTTCCTTTGTGTCACTATCTTTTTTTTTTCACTGTGTTTTATACATGTAGTTACATGAGAGAAAAATAGCAATAAATCGTAAAACTTAATTCGCAGTTAATATGAAATAAAACTCTTATCGCCACGTCGCACACTGTACTCGTATAACGCAAACTGAAAATTTCATATCAAAGGAAATAATAATTAGAGAGCGGATTTATAATCACAAAAAAATTAAGAATAAGCGCTTAAATAAGCACAACATGTTCAATAAAAAAGTTTTATTTTAAGCAAAAAAGCACTAAATAAGCATAACACTTTCATTAAAAAAGTTTTATTTTAAGCAAAAAAGCATTAAAAACATAATCATATTACAAACCAAAGAACACTTCTTAGAACTTTGGATAAAATATTATTACAATAATCCTAGACTTTATATTTTATACACGTATTTCAGTTTTCTTTAAAACAATTTATGATTGTAATATGTTCCACGTTGTACACTGTAAAATTTTTTCGCCGATCATTTAAAATGAGTTTAAAATTGGAGAATGTGCGTTCAACATCCACACTCGTTGTTGGCGCAAATTTGAATTTTGCAACTAATGTTGAATCTAACTCCAAATTTTCCACCTTCTGGTCTTGTGAAACACGAGTAACGTCGGAAAGAACACCGAAACCTGTATTTTTATGTAACACTTCGTCAAGTTTGTGAGATACTCTAGTACCAATATCACCCCTTACTGCGTTTGCTTGTTGTTTAAATTCTTTCACTAAGTTTATGGCATCTATCAACAACATGTTGGGTTTTGCTAACTTCTCTATTACCTCACATGCGAATTGATAATTGCTTCTTACAAAAGCTAGATCTTGTCGCAAATCTTTGTTTTCCAAAATATTTATGCAATCTTTAATCGACTGAGAAGAATTTTCGCTAAACTCCCTAACTACTTCCTCAAATTCTTTGATATACATAATACATAATAATTTTATTCATACATTACATCCCAGACGGGATGTTTGTACATGTCAGGAAAAGTACATATATTAGATAACTAAATATAATGCAAAATTTATAAAATACAATAAGTACAATGTAAATAAATACCAAACAACATAAATACAAACATTTTACTACACAATAGATTTGTCTTCCAGAAATTCGTCATAACTGTAGTAGGCACTGCTTATTAACAATCTTTTTATTGCTTTATTAAAATTCTTTGCGTTATCTTTTTTAAGGTAATGTGGAATCTATACTTATATAATAAAGCTGAAGCTTTTGTTTATTTGAACACGCTAATCTCAGAAACTACTGGTTCAAATTCAAAAAATCTTTTTGTGTTGGATAGTCCATGTATCATATCTACATATCGGCGATATAAAATCACGCTACAATCATTAGGAGCGAAGTAGCAATGAAAAATTCGGAAAAACAGGAAAATTATTCCACCTTTGACAGCTTCCGTTGCTTACGCTGCTTAAACGGTTAAAGTTACGTAAAAATCATGTAGGACGAAATTGTTCCCCTCTAAAAGTTCTAAAAAAAAGTCCGCGACAGTATATGTCTATCTTTTAAGGTCGAGTCAGTATAACCTTTTTTATGGTAATGAAATTTGTTCTAAAATAATAATGCATTATGTATAAAATTCTCGCGTCACAGTGTTTGTAACCGAACTTCTCCGAAATGGGCTGACCGATTTGTATGAAATTTTTTATGTATATCCGGTAGGTCTGACAATAGATTGTAAACTATTTTTGAAACCCCTAAGTGATAAGGGTGGCCCACCCTAAAAGAATGTTGATTATTTTTTGGACAAAATTTTTTATTTTTATTTTTTTAAGATTTGGCATCAAAAAATACACATAACCCTAAATTTTCACCTTTCTACCACTAACCCCCATTTTTTAATCGTCTATAAAATAAAAATCAATTGCTGTTCCTGTTAGTCTCGCTAAGACTCAAAAACGGCTTGACCGATTTGAACCATTTTTTATATTACGGGGATGGTTTATAAATAAAAAAAATAAGGATAACTTAAAAGGACAGTTAAAAAATAAAAAAATTCTAAAAATTTTGTATGGGAATCGCCACTTCGAATTAATTTCAATAGTTGGCGTTTCTGAGGGACCTGTCGTCTAGCTGACGTGTCATACAAAACTAATTCTTCCGTGCGATTGTGAAAAGTATAATTGCATTTCAAATCGTTCTTTGTTTTTTCGTAAAAAAAACGTCGTTTATTTTAAGAAAAGTCTTGGTTAAAGTGAATTTAATTACACATTGCGAAAGTTTCTTATTCATTTTGATCTGCCATTCTATTTACCTATATTCACTTTGTTGGTTTCGACAAAACCTCAAACTTTACCGTCATTCGAGGATTTAATTTGAAGTTTTCAATATTTTAAAATTCTCAAGACAAAATTTACAGATTTGATTGACTGTGAAAATAATTCTGTCGTTTTATGAAGTTCATTACAATGCCGAGAAGACGACAAGCTGACATAGGTCCACGAAATCAATCAAATGTGCGACGAACTACCTCAGGTGCAAACCGCAATGATTTATTTCATGGGTAATTCGGATATGGAAGTTGATCAGCGTTGTGCTCTTAATCAACATAATCAAGTACCTACTTCATTATTACTCTTATATACCTGAGCATCTACTCTATGTACTGAGTACCTACTTGGAAACCCGGACACAAACTGAACATCTACGCGTTTTGTGAGCATTTAATCTAGAAATGAGCATCGGCGTGGCAAATAACTGAGCTGTCTGTAGAGCAGCTTAGAAAACCAGAAGGATCGTTGTAAGAGTGAATTTTAACTAAGCATGGTGACTTTCATGAACGTGGAACGTCGTCAAAAGGTGCATTCAGTTTGAAAAACACATTAAGAGCAGGAATATCGAAAACTTTTCATGTAATTAACTTTTATTTATGCATAAATTGTGCAGTGCGTTTTTTCTGACACTGACCATAGAGATTCCCATCTCAAGGTGTCTACCCCATACTAACTTATATTTTGGTGACTCGATTTTTGCATTGATGGTTGAACACTGTCACTGTTGTCCTTTTTTGTTGTATCGAGATGCTACTTAAGCATCAACTGTTACTTACTGAAGTATTAGTATCATCTAGAAAAACTAGAAATATTTTGATTTGATATTCGAGTAGATACTTCGTATTTCGAGTATGAGCATCTACTGAGTTTTATTTATATCAACCATTGTCAAAAAATTGATCGAACGTTGTTTCGACAGAACTTCCTTCGCACCAAAAGTATAATGAAACATATTCAGCATTTTCGAGTTGAGTCTTTTCTTCACACAATTTTGTGATCACCTAATCAACATTTACTATCAACACGTATACCACCTTGGATTCGTGCAGTGAAATACTAAAAATAACTGTATTGTATTCCCAAAATTATCTGCGAAAATCGAGCGAGCCATTCCATAAATTTTTTGGGGGGAATAAATTAATATTCTTAACAATTTACCATGCTTACAATAACTAACGTCTGCAAGATCTGAAAGTATTCATTTTTGCAACTCTTGAGTTATTCACTAAAATAAATTGACTGATCCATATATTTTTTTGAGTCACTGTAAAAGCAAATCTAAAAAATATGAATGCAATAATAAATTACGAAAATATACTGATGATATTTTCCACATTTTAGATAGGATTTATTTGGCAAAATTTTGAGATGACGTCTTCAAGTCTTTGGACTTGATAAACAGATATATTTTGATTGAAAACCTACCATGTCAAACAGTAACTTCCAAACGTCTGCAATATTTCAAAATTCAGTTTTGCAATTCTTGATTCAATCAATAAAATAAATTGACTCAGTGATTAATTTTTTTGAGACACCCCCTATAAGCAAAAGTAAAAAATATGAATAGAATGATAAATCACAAGTATAGTCTCATCCTATTTTGGACATTTTAGATAGGATTCATTTGGCAAAATTTTGGGCTGACGTCATCAATTTTTTGGAGGGGATAAGTAAATATATTTTGAATACAAATTTATTATGCTTATCATATGTTTAAAACATGTGCAAGATTTCAAAGCATTCGATTTTGCAGATTCAAAATTAAATTGTAGGTGAAACGAAGTTCACGGGGTCAGCTAGTCTTATTATAAAACTTTATTGTGAAATAATTAACCGCATCCTGGGACTTCTTCAGTCTTATTTCTTTCGGGCACAAATTGTTTTTATGTCTTGTGTTGTATTCATGAAAGTCACTATGAGCGGAAAATTCATTTTCATGTTTTTTAATGTAGTTTAGGCAAGTAAAAATGTACAAAGAAGGTAGCGTCATTATATTTAGCTTCCTAAATTGTTCTCGGCAATCTTCTCTGTACTTTAAGTTTGAGACAATCCGAATTGCTCTTCTTTGCAATTGAAAAAGTCTATGACGTATACTAGTATGTCCCCATAATAATATTCCACATCAAGTGTGACTCACATAAAGCGAAGTAAATGTTGCATAAATATTCTCTGGGTAAATTTTCTTTCAAATGTCGCAATAGGAAGATATTTTTGCTGATTTTCTTTGTAGTATTTTCTCCATGACTAACCCATGAGAGTCCAAACTAAAGCCCAGAAAGTTAGTGTTTGATTGAAAGCTGGGTGGCATCTCTACTTTCTTCAAAGTAAAAATCATCGTAGTTGATTTGTCAACATTCAGAACAAGATTGTTCGCTGTGAACCAATCAAAGGCTTCCGATTGCGCTTCAGCACTGACCATGTCTGGTGCTACGTCCGATATTAATTTGTTTAGCAATGTGGTATCGTCTGCGTATAATACTGAATCAGAGTTTAAGTTAGTTGGTAGATCGTTCACAAAAATGAAAAATAGGAGAGGTCCTAAGATGGAACCTTGGGGTACTTCTTGATTAATCGGAAGATGGTCCGAAAATGTTTTGTTAAATTTAACTAATTGTTGACGATTCTCTAGATATGATTTTACTAATTTGCAACTTTCTTCATCAATATTATTCGCAGATAACTTTTTCAGAAGGATGTTATGTGACACGCAATCGAAAGCCTTCGACAGATCAAGAAATGTCACGATTGCTGTTTCTTCTGTTTCGAAACAGGATGTTATATAATTTTGTAACTTGAGAACAGCGTCTACCGTGGACAAGCTTTTTCGATACCCGAATTGATTTCCCGTGAATAGTTTTTTACTTTCGAAATAGCGGCTCAATTGAAGAAATAATACTTTTTCTATTATCTTCGAAAAAATTGGCAGTAGTGCAATTGGGCGGAAATTACTTGGGTTATTCAAGTCACCTTTTTTATATATATCGGAACTACAACCGCCATTTTTAAACAATCAGGAAAAGTAGATTCCCTAATGCAGATATTTATTAACTTTGTTAGGGAGGAAATTAGTATGTTTTTAACTGTGCTCAACAGGTTAGTATTGAGGTTATAGACATCATTCGAATTGTTTTTTTTTAACTATTTATGGCATCTCTGGTTGTTATGCAAGAAATTTCACTAAAACTAAAAGTTTCTGAATTGGATGGCGGGACTTTTTGTGCTAGAAAGTTTAAAGCATCTATTTTTGATGTTGTTGCAGGAAGTTGGGGTGCCAGATTTGTAAAGTAATTATTAAATTCAGTACTAGTAATTGAGCTATCTAGATCGTTTATTGCTTGCGAGTATTTATTACGTTTTTCATTAATAATGTTCCACATTGCCTTGTTCTTATTGTTAGAGCCTTCGATAGCTTTTTTATTATAGTTAATTTTCTTGGACTTTAGCTTACTTTTGTATAGAGTACGAAACTCGTTTCTTGCTTTTCTAGTTTGTTCGGTTCTTAGAACAGAATCTATTGTGTTTAAAGAATTCAGCGTGTTTCTCATTTCAAATAATTCTTTGTCGAACCAATTTATTTTATTAAAGCTTTTGCTGTTTTTAATTTTTCTGTGAACTTCTGGAAAAGCAAGATTTCCGTAATGCGTAACGATTTCAGTAAACCTAGAAAATTTAGCATTAATACCTAAGCTAGTGTCATCGACAAAACTCCAGTCAACGGTTTTAAGTGAATTTTAGAAGTTAATTTTACCAAGTTCACTAATCGGTCTTATGGTTTTTTGTGTTAACAATTTTCTATTTGAAGCCGTAGAAAGCTTCAAATTTAGCTTTATTGCTGATTGATGATCAGATATCTGTACTTTGACTGGACTTACCTCATAGTGTGATGAATTTATATTGGTAAAAATATTGTCTAAAAACGAGTCTTTCCGAGTTGGAAAGGTTACAATATATTCTAACCCGTGACAGCGCATAAAGTCGCACAGCAAGTTCTTTTGCTGATTGTCGTAGTCGAACCTGACGTTGTAGTCACCTGCTAATACAACATTTAATTTAAGTGAGTTACTTATGCCGAATAATTTGGACAAAACATTTAAAAATAAGTCAAAATCACCAGATGGTGGCCTGTACAAGTTTATAAACACTACTCCAATGATACTAACACTTACTGCTGACACTTCACAGTGATTCTCCACGGAGAATTGAGTTAGTTCTTCAATATTCTTACAGTTTATGTCATTTCTGGATAGTATGAGAGAGCCTCCGTGCTTCGCGGGTTTTCTGGAAAAGTACGATTTTGTAGAGAAGTTCTGTATAGCCAGAGTTTCCGGTTCTTGGTCATACAAGCAATGTTCTGATACTCCAACTAGTGAGCAGTTTTCTTCCGCCAAAAGAACTTCAAATTCTGTTAATTTCGAACGAATTGACTGTATATTAAGAACAAGTATAGTTATGTTAGTTTGCGAATGTTGCGGGGCGGGGTTTGTGGCGAAAAAGTTCAAATTTTTTTACTATCACGTTTCGGGGCCACTTTTCTCCTTTGTAGAGCTGGTCAAGGAGGAGGAAATCTGCTCCAACTTTAAAAGCAGCGCTCGTAGCATCCTCTTTTCTTGGAAGTGGTTCAACGATAAAATTGTGATTTGAGAATCTTTCTTGGAGATATTTTTCAATATCTTCTGGTGTTGTGTTTGTGTGAGTCCTACCGACATAGATCCATGCGCGTCGTGCTGCTGCACTGAAGCTTGATGTTTGATTTTCTGAATCGTGGCAGCCTCTGACGACTGTTTTACGTGCTGTCGTTTTGTCCACTTTTCGCCCTTTATTGCGGTTTTTTGCGGCACTTCCTTTTATCTCTGTTGCCTTGTTTTCTTTTGGTATTTCTCTGATTACCGTCTAATTCGATGACCCTGAATCGCTTGACACATAATCTTCATTGTCACTTTCAAAATCCGTGATGGTCGGATATTCTTCTGCCGAAACTTTGTTGCCTGTATTGCTCACACAAAGATGACGGAGTTGCTTTAGACTCTTGATCTCACTGGATAGGTCACTGATTTGGACCAGCAATATTTTGACGGATTCTGTTACGATGTTCTGGATCATTTCTTGTAGATCACTCACATTGATCATTACACATTCAGCACTTGAGGTTTGATTTGCCAGAGTTGTTGGTTTTCCCATGATCACAGCAAGCTAATTTATAATAATTCGTGATCGATATCGCTTTCAATTTTTCAATATTTGTCATAATAAAATATGGCTTGTAACCATGTTCCCCACCTCGTTATAATCGGCTCTGGGGGCAATGGTATGTTTGGAAATTTTTACTTAAAATGTTGCACTTTTATAGTGGGGCTTTAACAAAAATCTTTTTTCCATTTGCCACTAATTTATTAACAGTATAGGAAACTGCAAACGTATTCCTTAAGCCACTCTGTTTAAACCGTGGGCAATGCAAGTAGAATGAATTAAATTGAGGTACAATATTTTTAGATTATTCCCTGCTTTCAACATATAACGAGCTGCATCCGAGATCATCAATAAAATTTTATTCGCCGGTACGGCTTTTGGCAAAAATAGTGACGTAAGACTGTCATTTACAAATCTGGTAATCAAACTTACTACATACCCTCGTCTAAGGAAATTTTCATTTAATATTCCAACAATTAAACTTGCCACGTATCTTCCACAACTATCGGTTGTTTCATCGACAGCGAACAATAAATAATTATCTCCAATGCGATGTTTAATTTCGTTGTAAACTTGCTGAAACACTAGGCCTACATAATTTTTTCGGAGAGTACTTTCAACCGGAATATGTCGATTGCAGTGTTTTTCAAGGAATTCTTGAAGAGGGCCTTTCTCCATTTTTTTTTTAAGTTATATTGGACTGGATCATCATTTTACATAAACCGAAATTAAACTGAAACTGCTCATCTTTTGTGGAAGTAGATGCAACTGATTCATGTGTGGTCTGTTGTTTAATTTTAGAAACTTCAAACATTTTCTTCCTTTCTACATGAAGAGTCGTTCTGACATGTTGCGTCACGTTATATTCTTTATCACTTTGAATCTAAAACAACGTACATATACAGGATTAACAAAGGAAAATAGATAAAAGAAAATTAGTGGGCTTACGGTTTTCACACAAGCTCTGCAGAATATTTTGTTGTTTTCTAATTTTAATTCTGGAAAATCCCTTATCCACTCATCCGGCGTCGATTTTACTTTCGGCATTCTTTTAAAATATTAATAATATTACCAAAAAGAACTCAACATGTAACAAGGGAGAACCACGTATAACACTGTACTACCACAGATGAGATAGACTGATGGTTGTGAAATAAACGGTTCATTTACTTAAAAGTTTCCATTAGAAAAATTTTAAGGTAGGTAGTTGGGTACAATAATCCTTTTTTCTAGAAAATCTTCAACGGTCTTGCCCCAAAATACCGAAAAAGAACATCTGGTTAAAAGCTTTAATTCATTATCAACGGAAGTAAGGATTTAAAGTAATAAAATCTATGGAGTATTTATACAATCCTATAATAAAATTTTATTACCCAAACAACCGGAACCTATTCACAGAAAGGGTCTTGAGTAAGTGTACTTCAATGGTCAAATCCAGGTAAAATGCATACGCTACGATACGCCTAACTAACAAGTATTTGTCATCCCGATAAGGCCGGCATTTGAACAAAATATGCATTAAAACTCATATTCGTCGAAAAAAGCATTAAATAAGCATAAAAGTTTTAATATGCATAAAATTGAAAAAAAAGCAAATAAGCATTAAAAAAATGTGTCAAATGACTCCAAATTGTATCATAGTTACAGATATAAAAAAGTTTTGAAGTGGTTACATTTTTCACAAAACATTAAACCTAGAAATCCGCTCTCTAGAAATAATAACTAAGCTTATATTAAATTCATGAACTTTAACTCTGGAAGGAGTGGAAGGTGATACCATGCCAACAAATTTTCACGATTGAAAGATGGAGCCGAGGATTAATTTAACTTTGATTCGTGTTTTCAGATTTCCGTATTCGACGCTTGCCCCCGGCGCCCCTGCAACAACGGCTACTACCCCATCCACGAAGCCGCCAAGAACGCCTCCTCCAAAACTTTGGAGATTTTCCTGCAATGGGGCGAAGCACGCGGATGTTCTCGAGAAGAGATGATCTCATTTTATGATTCCGAGGGAAACGTTCCCTTACACTCGGCTGTTCATGGGGGTGACATCAAAGCCGTGGAGTTGTGTCTGCGGTCGGGAGCGAAAATTTCCACCCAGCAGCACGACCTTTCCACCCCCGTACATTTGGCCTGTGCTCAAGGGGCGACAGATATTGTGAAGTTGATGTTCAAAATGCAGCCGGAGGAGAAGTCGCAGTGTCTGGCATCTTGCGATGTACAGAAGGTAGGTGATTTGCATAAAGTTGTATAATTATGTTAGTGGAAGCGACGGTGCTTATGCGGAATGACGGATAATGATGTATTGTATTCAAGAAAGGCAGAGTTAGAGATCGATTTTTGAAATAAAAAAATAAAGTTCGAAATATTACAATTTTGACGCTAAAAAAATTGAACGGGTAACATTCATCGTTTTATTAATAATTTTTCAAAGATTGATTCCGAACTCAGTTTTTTTTATGTAAATTAGAAATTCTTTTGTAGTTTTCATGGCAGGTCCTGCATTTGTGAACGAGTTCATTTCAAAGCAACAGAGTGGCAAAAAAAACTTTATTTTTTTTGCAGATAATTACATCTAGTTCCACAGCAATAATTCAAAGCATGTGAGTCCGATTGAAACGTGAACAACGAAACAAATTACATTTACTTAATTATGGTCAAAAGAATACACTAACAATGATTTTGAATTACCATTGTGTTGTACGGTTCGAATAATATTAACTTAGCAAAACTTTAAAATGAATATACTATATGCATGGAATCTGATGTTAAACATGAGACACAAGAATCGTTTTTGTGCTATTAGAACTCTATTGAAATTAACCACACTTCCTCAGAACAGAAAGTTATATGATAATATTGAGTTCACTGAAGCTTAGTTAAGACAATGTTCTAATTGTAATAAAGCATAATAAGAACTATTAATTTTTGCGCAGAGTTAGCCTAAATGATGTTGCCATTTTAAGTTTGGATTTATTAAAACACCAAAAAACTTAGATGATGTCGAAAATTGATACTCTATTATCAACAAATCTAGGTTCCAATTCAGCATTTTTTTATTGATAGAAAATTTTAAGCATTTGATTTTCTTATAATTAACAGTTAATTTGTTATATTTACACCACCAGGAGAATTCTTTCAATAACTTGTTTTGTACGCAGTCAGCAGTTGCTGCTACTGAGACGTCATATGCAAAAAGTGTTGTACGGTTGGCACTAAGATATTTTGGCAAATCATTTAAGTCTAATAAAAATGTCAAGGGTCCTAAGACAGACCTCTGGACGACTCAAAATCCATTTCCCGATTCGAAGAGTAGGTAGTTTTTTCCTGTTTTTCCACAGTTTCTAACTAGGAATAAAATTAACTAGAAAAAATGTCATAATATTTTTAACGACGCGTTTTACTTTCGACAAATTGACATTAGATTTACCAGAATATTACAAACTGCTTACTATTTCCTTTACTTTAATTCAGGTCGCACGAATTACAGTTGGTCGTATGAGAACTCGTTTGATCTACAGACCACAGTGCACTCAGACCAATGTCGACTTTAAGCGTTCGGAAACGATTTGATTTATAAGCCATGATTCGTGATTTGATACATATCCCAACCGGTTTCGACCATAATTTCTTGCTGTTTCAACTTTCGAATTCTCAGTTTTTCGAAATTTTAGTTTGGGTACTTTTCAGTTTACTCCTATTTATTATTCAATTTTTGGATTTTACAATTTCTCAATTTTTTAATTTATCGGTTTTCAGTTTTTCTCATCAATTTTACGATTTTTAAATATTTCGATTTTTCAATTTTTGACTTTTATAAACTCTTTATTTGTCCATTTTTCAATTAAATAACTGATTTTTCAGGTTTTTCGGTTTTTCAATTTTTTCAGGTTTCGATTTTTCAACTTCACTTTTTTGATTTTTCATTTCTCAATTTTTCAATTTTTTAATTTCCCAGTTTTTGGACATTTCAGTTTTGGGATTTTTCACTTTACTTATTATTCAATTTTTCGAGCTTACGATTTTGCAGGTTTTTGATTTTTCAATTTTTCGATTTTTAAAAGTTTCGATATTTCGACTTCACTTTTTTGATTTTTCGATTCTTTAGGTTCTCAGTTTTTGGATATTTCAGTTTTGGGAGTTTTCAGTTTTTCGATTCGTCAGTTTTTCTTTCATTTTTAAGTTTATATCAGTTTTGGGATTTTTCAATATTTTTGTTCTTCGACTTTTCCACTTTTGACTTCTGGATTGTTCGATGCGTTGATTATTTTACTTTTAAATTTTAGATTTTTTAATTTTTAAAATTTTAGATTTTTTAATTTTTAAAATTTTAGATTTTTTAATTTTTAAAATTTTAGATTTTTCGATTTCTCGATTTTTCATTTCAGATTTTCGATATTTCATGTTTCCGAATTTTTCAAATGTTTTGATTTCTTAAACTATCGATTTTTCGACTTTCCGGTTTTAGATTTTCTGTTTTTCAATTGTCGTTTTTTGAAATTTTCGATTTTTAAATTTTTCAAATTTGACATTTAAACTGTCAATTTTATCGATTTTTCAATTAATCGATGTTTTGATTTTCCCATTTATTGGCTTTCGAGGATTTCGATATTCCTGTTCTTCAATTCTTCAATTTTTCGATTTTTTAGTTTTTTTAAGGTTTCGATTTTTCGACTTCACTTTTTGGATTTTTCGATTGATCAATTTTTCGACTTTTTAGGTTCTCAGTTTTTGGATATTTCAGTTTTCGGATTTTTCACCTTTTCCATTTTTCAGTTTTTCTTTCATTTTTCAGTTTTTGGATATCTCAGTTTTGAGATTTTTCAATATTTCGATTCTTCAACTTTTCGATTTTTGACTCCTGGATTTTTCGATGCGTTGATTATTTTACTTTTTCGATTTTTAAAATTTTAGATTTTTCAATTTTTAAAATTTTAGATTTTTCGATTTCTGGATTTTTCAGTTCAGTTCTTCAATATTTGAATTTTTCAGGTTTTCGAATTTTTCAAATGTTTCGATTTCTTAATCTTTTGATTTTTAGATTTTCTGTTTTTCAATTGTCATTTTGTCAAATTTTCGATTTTTTAAGTTTTCAAATTTGACTTTCATAAACTCTCATTTTTTCGATTTTTCAATTAATCGATGTTTGATTTTCCCATTTCTTGACCTTCGAGTGTTTCGATTTTTCTGTTCTTCAGTTCTTTAATTTATTGATTTTTCAGGTTTTTGATTTTTCAATTTTTCGATTTTTTAAGGTTTCTGTTTTTCGACTTCACTCTTTTGAATTTTCGACTTTTCAGTTTTTAGATATTTCAGTTTTAGGATTTTTCAATATTTCAATTCTTCGGCTTTTCTATTTTTGACTTCTGGATTTTTCGATGTGTCTACCTTTTTACTTTTTCGATTTTTCAATTTTTGGATTTTTAAGTTTTAGATTTCTCAATCTTTTGATATTTTAATTCTTCAATATTTCTTAATTTTTCGATTTTTCGACTTCCTGGTTTTAGATGTTCTGATTTTCAATTTTTCGATCTGTTAATTTTTCATTCCCGATTTATCGAGATTTGATTGTTCAGGATTTCGATTTATCAGTTTTTCATTTTTTTATTTTGCCCTATTTCGGTTTCTCAGTTTTTCCAGTTTTCCATTTCTTCGTTTTTTGATTTTTCCGCTTTTCCAATTTTTCAACTTTTAACTTTTTGTTTGTCGATTTGTCAATTTTTCGAATTTTCGACTTCATCACTTTTCGATTTCTTGTTCTTTTGATCTTTCAATCTCTCAATTTTTCAATTTTTCGAATTTTTAAGTTTTTTGATTGCTCGATTTATCGAGATTTGGATTTTTCGATATTTTGATTGTTAATTTCTCATTTTATAAATTGTTCAATGTTTAACTTTTCAATTTTTCGATTTTGCCTATTTCGGTTTCTCAATTGTTCGACTTTGCGACTCCACGATTTCTTGATCTTTTGATTTTTCGATTTCTCGATTTTTAGATTTTCCAGTTTTTCGATGTTTCGATTTTTCAGTTATCCGATTTTTTAAATTTGGCAGTTTCGATTTCTCGATTTTTCGTTATTCGGTTTTTAAATTTTACATTTTTTCGATTTTCTGATGTTTCATTTTTCGATTTTCAATGTTTCCAAAACATTTTCCCGAAAAAAATCCATTGGGTTATTACGATTTCAACAATATTCTTAGTTTAAGACGTTTTGCTAATATAAAAACACAAATAAAGAATTAATTCTTAGTTAAACAAAATATGTAAAATCATCTAAATACGTACCAAAAATATTCACTTAGTCGTTATAAAAAACGACCGATCTATAATTTCTGCAGGAAACCAACCAAATCGCTTCTGAACGATTAGAGTCGACATTGGCCTGAGCGCCCTCTGGTCTGTAGTTCTCAGGCGACGAGTTGTAGTGAAACAAGTTTTTTTATTGGCATCGACTGTTTAAATTTGGCGCTTGTCTTTGGCGGTTGAGGACTCCAATGTCAATAAGGGTGGTTTTGCAAAATCAGCCTGTATGTCCCATCTATATTAATCTATGTTTATACTATCAAACACTTTCGACAAATCAAAAATACACCGAAAAACGTGCTTCTTGTTATTTATACATTTTTCTACATATTCGATGTAGCTAAAAATGGCACTTACGATTGACAAACTCACCTAAAACCATGCTGACATTTAGACTCTATACATATTTAAGAATATCAACTTAAAAGTGAGTTGATTTTTCTCACTTACATTTCCTAAACTAAGGTTTGGTGAATGGTTAAGTCCTCCTCGAAAAAATTTGAACAGTTTAACTATCACATTTTGTGACCACAATGCATTGGAGTATAATAAATTCTGTAAATCTACTTGTGCAGATTCAATACCTGGTCTTATACAAAACTCACTTGACATATACGATTAAAACTTTGATGACTTAAGCGGCTTAAGCCAAACCACCCTTATAATGGATTCGAACCGCAAGGATTATTACTGTCCCTTGTTGCCATAATGGAGTACACATAAATCCATAGGTATTTCTTAGCTTTCACAAAACTGCTTTTGGAATTTACTGTACCAGAACCAATTGGCCTGCCAAAATTATGAGTTTATCTCCTACATTCCTTTTTGTATTTTTGACCTTTTAACTGCTTTCACTTGATCCGACGAATTAATTATTTTTGCTTAGTTGTTTCTTGTCAACGAAATTCCACTTTTTTTTTATTT